TGAAAGTCTGTGGAAGGTGGGAAGGATGCTGACAGTCTGCCTCTGTGATAGACTTTTAAAAAGGCTTCCACCACTGGAGCATTGCTTTCACCTGTGCGTGCTTGTTACCTGCCATTTTAATGTTGCTATAAATATAGGGGCCCCTCCACGAGGCTGGAAATGCAGAGTGTGGGCCAGGCAAGGGTCATGCCAGGATGATGGCATGGGTCACACCATGGACTGCCCTGTTTTTCACAGGCAGCTTCAGCACTGGGATTGGAGGCCTGCATGGTGAGCTGCAGGGCGAGTGTTCCTGTGGCTACTGAAAGCAGTTTCTACTGGATGAGAGTTCACACGTGGTTCTGGGAAACAGCTCTTCTCTAAATTCAGCTGCCAAATAGGAGTGGCAGTATTTGGGTACTCCTTTTTGGTTCCAAAAAGCCAGAATCTAGACATCTGCTCAGATTCTTCTAGGTGGGACATTGGTGACCAGCCTAGTTAGCCATGTTGCCCATTGATGATGGTGCTTGCCACTTGGGAAAATGCATTTATCTATTCTGCTCTAGGGCACAGAGCATTTTCAAAAATTCCCTCATCTTTCAAGGTCAAGGTTTTCAGGAGCTTAGAAAATAAATCCCCACACCTCCTGCAGATTTGCCCAGCATAAATGCCTGGACCTGTGAATGTCTCTGCTACTGTGTTTCTACTTTTCAGTCTCCTGCTGTTGAAAGACAGTGATAATTACCAATAACACCTGTTAAATGTTACCATGTGCTGGGCAGTATTCTAAGCACCTCATATTTGTAAGGCTCATTTAATCCTTACAGCACTTCTATGTGAAAGAGACTGGATTTGTTTGTTTTTGTTTTCAAGAGAGAGTCTAATGAGCCCAGGCTGTCCTCAAACTCCCTTTGTAGCCAGACCTGGCCTTGAACTCCAGATCCTCCTGCCTCTACTTCCCAAGTGGAGAGTTCACAGGCATGTGCTACCATGCCTGATGAGATAGAGACTTAAGATTCCATTTTATCCCTAAGGTTACTCAGGTGTGGACTGGGTTTGAAGCCAGGATCTGGCTGCAGAGACTACAAACTGTAAATGCTGAAGCAGAAAAGGTACTCCGTGCTTACTGCCAGCCATCCTGTGGGAAATGAGGCACATCTATACTTTGCAAAGGCAGAAACCTGTTGAGGATACCCCAGGACTTGTGGCTGAGCTGGGTTTAGCCTCAGCTGCTCACTCCAGAGCCTGTCAGTAGCAACTTGTCATGGATTCTCTGTCACTGGAATGGAAGCTGCTAGAATCTCCATTCAGTTTTCCTCTTGCCCTTTATATCCACATGCCAGGACAATTTCTACCATCCTCAGTGGTGGAGAAGGCTTGGAAGGTACTGGGAATCCAGATGGGACTGTCACAGTCTGTTTCCTGCTCTGGACTATTGATTACCCTCAACAGGAGGTTGTGAGACTAGATACAAGGCTTTCATTGCAGCTACATAGAAAGTGCTCACTCCACGAGCAGCTGCTGACTTTGTCATTGGATTTATGTATTTACTATTTATTCATTTATAGTTAGCATACAAAATAATGAGTTTCATTATGCCATCTTCATACATCTGTAATCATTATAATGTGTTCTCCACCCACTGTCCCCCTTTGCCCCCTTGCTGGGTTTGTTCCTCCTCTGGAATATTCCTGCCCTCTGCTTTTGTGTTACATATAATCTGTAACCCTCCTGCTCCTTTCTTCCCTCTCCCTTTAGACATCTTCCTCTTTTCCTCTTCTCTCACAGGTGTCTTTCTACCTCCATGATACACACACACACACACACACACACACACACACACACATGAATCTAGGTTCTGCATATAAGAGGAAATGTGACATTTGTCTTTTGGAGTCTTTACCATTGGTTTAGAAATGTGGAAGTTAGGGGCTGGAGAGATGGCTCAGCGGTTAAGAACACTGGCTGTTCTTGCAAAAGACTCAGGTTCGAATCCCAGCACCCACATGACAGCTAACAACTGTCCGTAACTCCAGTTCTAGGGGATCTGACAGTGTCTTCTGTTCTCTACGGGCTTTGCACGACATGGGTGCACTTACTTACATGCAGGCATTACATGCATACACATAAAAATAATTTAAAAAAAAGTGTGGAAGTTAGGTCAGAATGGCCTCCCTGGGACATTCACTTTCCTGGAATTCAAATCCAAGCACCTTCAGTCAATGTGAAGGAATGCTGGAAACACCAAGATGTATAACATGTAATATCATATCTTCAGTGTGCTGTATGCACACGGGGAAAACCAAGGTGACGAATGTTGCGTACCTGTAATGCACTGCAGGGGTAGGGGAGTCAGAAAGGGCTTCTCAGAAGAGGTGCATCTTCTTCAGGGCCTAGATAGATTAGTTGGGTTTTTATCAGACTGTAAGTAGGTGGTTGACCATGAGGAAAGATGTATTCTGGCCAGGAAATCCATGAACTATCATCTGTTGGCCTTTCATCTTAGAGAAGAGGGTCTCTGCGGGCAGGACTGCATCAGAATCATCTGGAAGGTCCCCCAGGAGGCCACTGCAGCAGACATGGCTGTTATTGTGACTGAGCTAGGGAAGGAGGTTGGACGGTGTTCAGGCGGCTACAGGATGACAGACACAAATGGCCGGATCATGTTCATGAGATGAGCTCTTCCTTCTGAGAGGGGCAGAGCTGAGGGAATGAGGGCCTGTCAGTGTGACAGCTTGACCTGCCCAGTCCAGGGCACTCCTAACAGAGTACACTGGTGCTGCTGGTGCCCGCACTGTCATCTGTTGCACTCTGGTCCCACTTGGGTCCAGAACAAGCACTTCATGAGTGTTAAGCAGATGTGTCACTGCAGAGTGGAGAGAAGGGTGGGCAGGGCTGCCTGGCAAACAGTGCAGGTTCTTGTATTATAAGATTCTGCCTCTTCTAGACCCAGATCTGTGAGCCATTCCTTGTGACTGTGAGTGATCCTTTGCTTCATGTGTGGTTCAGGCTAGCTGAGAACTCCAGTGGAGGAAGAGAGCCCCTAAGGAAAACCCAGAGCCCACGCAGGCCCTGGAGTCAAGGAGCAGCTGAGCCTGTGTCTGCAGTGCCCTGCAGTGCTTGCCTGGCTGGCCTGAAGATCAGAGCTCAGAAGGTTTTTATCCTGCCACGGGGTCAGATCCCTTGCTTTGTTTTCCCTCTGTAGATTGATCAGAGTACAATTATAATTCGTAGCAGCATGGTAAGTTCTCAGCTGTAGTCTTTCCTGCTGCAGCCTGTGAAGATACTGCCTCCCAGAGACTCCCGTCTTACTCTTCCTTTACAGGCTCTAGGGAGGTGAGAAGGGTGCTACTGCCCAAGTGTCTGTCTGAAGGAAAGCCTCTAAAGCAAGGCTCAGAGCAAGAACCCTCGTTACTGGGTCAGAATCAGAAGGGAAGATCTTACTCATTTGGTTTCATGTAGGCATGTGATGCTCTCTATTATTTTCCATTAAGAATCTTCCTTGGGAGGCCCCTTCCCCTTGATGAGTTGGGAGCCTGGCTCTTTTCCTTGGGAAGGTACTTGAACCTAGTAGGATTTTAGTAGGGCGGGGGGAAGGAAGGAAGGAAGGAATGAACGAATGAATGAATGAACAAACATGAGCATTGGGTCTTCATAAGTCCAGGAGCGCATGGTCCCATGGGCAGCAGCTCTCTTCTGCTCATTTTCTGTCTTAGGCCGTCTCCTTGGGCCTCCTTGCTTTCACTCAAGGCTGTGTCATGGGCCACAGGCTTAGCACCCTTCCTTCTGTTTCTCAGGGATGCCTCCTCCTCTCATCCCTGATCTTTTGTATTAACCTTTCTTGAAAGGTGTTTTCTAGCTATTTTTCAGTATTGTGAAAAATTTCAAAATTGAGAAAATTGGCCAGGATCATACTCTAATCTTATAATGTGGCACTGGGGACTGAACCCCTCAAAACCCGTGTTGTGTCCTTATCACACATGGACAAATGGTAGGTAGTTCTGGACCTTGTCACAGATGACTACTAGCTGTGTGATTTGGGCTCCAAGCTTTCTAGCAGCCACATTAAGAGGGAACTTGAATAAAGGAAACAGACAGAACAAGACTGGCTCTCCAGAGAAGCAGACATTCCGGATCTGGAGATCAGCTAGGATCTGGCAATGCCTTCAACATGTGCTCAGTGCCAACAGTTAAGCTTGATGTAGACAGGAAGTGCGGATGCATATTCAGTACAAAGGTGTGGCTTCCTACTCATGAATGCTTTCCTGTGTGGAAGGTGTCAGAAAAGTAGCTCCATGATTAAGTGTGCACTGTGTACTGAACACACCCCCTTGTCAGCTGTGTACTAACCAAGAAGGCAGTGTAGGAAAGCCAGATGTTTTACTAACCTTGACTAACTACTTCTATGCTAGTATGGAGCTGGGTGCCACTTCATCTGCTGTCTCAGTTGATAAACAGCTGTAATAGGCAACGCATCACTGTTCCTAAGTAATGTTGTTCAGGGGCAGAGACTTGGAAAAGCACTTAAAAGTTGCAAACTGTGGGCTGGAGAGATGGCTCAGCAGTTAAGAACACTGGTTGTTCTTGCAGAAGACCTGGGTTCTAATGCCAGCACCCACATCACAGCTGTCAGCTGTCCGTAACTCCAGTTCCAGGGCATCCGATGGCCTCTTCTGTCCTCTGCGGGCATTGCATGACATGGGTGCACTTACTTACATGTAGGCAATACACACATATACATAAAATAAAAATAATAAATAAAATATTAATGCAAACTGCATGTGGAAGCTGGCCCCCAACATACACATTTGTTCTCATCCTTCCCTGCCCTTCTGTTTGACGTGGTGGCTGAAAGTCACAGCTAAGCCCATTGAATCTCAGAGGCTGTAAAGGAGCAATTTTTGCAAGGGAAGAGGGAAGTTACCTAGACAAGCTCCTTCATGATATGCACCACAGAGGTGAGGGGACAGTGTAGCGGGGATCATCTGCCAATTAATGCTGCCTTTGCTTTCCTCCTTCAGATGAACTACGTCAAGCCATCGTAGCCATGATGAACAGGAAGGATGAGCTGGAAGAAGAGAACAGGTACCATGACCTTCAGGGTGGAGGGATGGTCTCTTGCCCTGACATTCTTCTCCTGATCACAAAGAGAATGTAACAGATGAAGAAAATTGTGCTTTGCTGGCAAAACTCTGACTGGCGATTTCTCAGTTTTTGTCTGGAATGGGCCGCTCCAGTCGATTTGCTGTGGTTTGCAAATAAGCAAGGCATGGGATCCAACAATAGTGGTATCATCTTATGACAGAGAGAATGTGGAGGGATGGTCTTGGATTCTTTTTTAAACCAGTCTTCACTGACATAAAACTCGTACCCTCTAGCTCACCTATTCAAAGTGTACAATTCATTGATTTTTACTGTATTCTCAGACACTTGCAGCCATCACCAGGGTCAATTTCATAACATTTTTATCATATCAAGAGCAAACCCTATGCCCCTTCCAAATACTTCCTTACCTGTAAAGCAGTGTTTAAGTGAGCATCAGTTGAAGACCTGTGTGTTCCTGGCAATCCAGCATCTACCTGAATAAAGGATGCTTAGGACAAGATGACACTTGGATTCTTTAGAAAGTAGACAATGAAAAGCAGTTTTATTAATATTTTCTTCCCTATTAACACTCATACTAGTTACTACCAGTGTTGATCATACTGGGACTATGCTAGTGTCTGAAGTTCTGTGTCTGGCTTTTCCTGAGCCAGTGTCTTGAGACTGATCAGTGGTGGGCTAGGCTGTGATTATTCACATAGGCCTCTGGGTACCAGTAGGCTGCCTCACTCGAGGAGGTGGTGGGGAACATAGGTCTCGGCACATGTGTGTATGTGTTCAGGTCACCCTCTTGTTCCTTTACTGAGAGCTGAAATGAAAGGTCCATGGTGACATCCATTCACAGTGCTCTTTTAGACCTTATTTTGGGTCCAACTTGACAAGCTCCTTCCTCATCTTTTATGGAAACACACAAAGGCAAGCAAGAATAATTTCTAAAACAAAAGAGGATGTTTTTAGGAGTCTTTAGACAGTATCATTTCCCAGCTAAAATATACTTTTAACAAAGGGCGTCCAGCCACCGCAGGGTTTCGTCCCTGCTCCAGCTGGAGTATTATCTTGGAGGAAGCATGGGCTTTGTCTTACCTTGTGAAGAATGACAGGCACTGTCTGTTGATTTCTTTTCCTTCCTAGACATATCCCCTCCCTTGATATGTTTATGTCGGGGTGTCACAGGCTCCAGAAGGAGAATCTTCTCCAACCTTCTAGGGATATATGTCTTAGAGAGCTCAGTGACAGTGGGGTAGTGGTGGGGCCAGGTGTCTCTGATGCAGTCTGATGTCCATGGCAGGTGTCTTCTGGATTTTGTCAGTAGATACACCACAGCTGGTTTTCTAGAAACAACGATTCATGTATAGTGGTTGGTAGGACCATGTTCATCTCACTTCAAGGTGGTAACTTGCGATGCTTCTAGAACTGTCCTTTTCTGGAGACAAGTGATGCCATGTATGCAAATGAACATGCTTTATAATTGAAAATATTCAGGACTATAAGAGACTAGCTATGCTATATCTAATGTTTAGTTCTGTACAATGCCATATGTGCTTGTTTAGTCTGGAATGGTGAGGGCCACGGGCTCATGGTGTGTTCTGTGGGCAGTGGTAGGAGCAGGACCAGACATCTGTCATAGAGTCTGAGTAAGTAGTCTGTTTTCCTGCTATAGACGATTCTTTTGGCTCTTCTGACATCCTTCCCTTTGTGCTTTCTTACCCATTGTGGATATGGTAGAACTCAGTTTAACATCTTTGAATGGGATGTCTTTAGGAGCACTTTCTTGGTGTTTGCTCAGCTACGTGTTTTTCCTTGATCTGAACTGTCACAGGGAAGAAGGACCCAGAGCCTGGCCACAGGTGACTGACTGCCCTGGGGCTCACGGCAGTTCTGGCTCTTAGGCTCTTGGCCAGTGTTTGCTGTCTGCTTACGTCAGCTTATATGAGATAGAATTGGACTGTGGTTTGTACAGAGCCTTGTGGGCAATGAAGGGACTTGACTTAGGTAAAGAACTGTATTGTGAGCTGGATGAAGAGCCTCTTGACAGTGGAACCCTCTCTTCCAGGTCACTGCGGAATCTCCTAGATGGTGAAATGGAACACTCGGCTGCACTCCGGCAAGAGGTGGACACCTTGAAAAAGAAGGTGGCTGAGCAGCAGGAAAGACACACCATGAAGGTCCAGGCGCTGGCAAGGTAGGAGGGCAAGGGACAGAGCCAGCAAGTGCAGGCATATTTCCCCACATCTTTCTGTTTGGTTTTGAGGAAAGGTCTCACTATGTAGCCCAGGTAGGCTTTGAACTTAGTCCTCCTGCCTTGGCTTCCTGAGTGCTGGGATTACAGGCATGTGCCACCCCACCATTTTTAATTTATGTGCATAGTGTTATACCTGAATGTATGTAAGTGCATCTGTGTCATGCAGTGCCTGTGGAGGACAGAAGAAGGCATTGGATCCCCTGGAACTGGAATTACAGATGGTTGTTAGCTGCCATGTGGGTGCTGGGATTTGAACCTGGGTTTTCTTCAAGAGCAGCCATTGCTTTTAACCACTGAGCCATCTCTCTAGCCCCATCACCCATACTTTCAATTAACAAAAAGGGAGGACAAAGGAAATGAAATTTATGTATTTTAATTTTCCTGTTTCTTTGAATGACTGATATGTGCATATGGTTCAAAATACAGAAGGTTAACTGATACGCATGCCTTCTTTTGGCCTGGCATCCAGTTCGTTCCCTGGAGGCATCAGTATGACCAAGTCTGGAGATGCTTTATGTGCATATAGCAGATGCATGTGCTTGTGCTTTTTCCTTTCCATCTTGTGCACACTGCTCACATTGCGTCCTAGGGAGGCTGCCATGTCAGTGTATGTGTGACTGCTATCCTCTTTCTAGTAGCTCCTGATGTGTCCTGGTTGGACTAAACCAGAATTGGTTTAATCAGCCTGCTAGTGGCTGGACATTATGGGTGTTTGCAGTCCTTTGTGACTACTGATAACATCCCAGCCCCATATCCCAGGCTCTTGTCAGTGTGTTCCCGTGTGAGTGTGTTCCCACGTGAGTACGTTCTCATGTGAGTGTGTTTCCTGGAAGTGTTCATGGAAGGGGATCTGCTATCAAGGTAAAGGGCATGTGCAGGCCCTGTGTATCACAGATTCTGGGCCGTGTAGACCACACAACATTGTGAGAGACTGTGTTGCTCCCAGCCATGCTTAATGGGCAGGAGCCAGGTTTTGGATCTCCTCATATCATGGGAGAAGAATGAGGCTGGCAGGTTATATTTTATTTGTGTTTCTCTAATTAATTACAAGTATGACTGAGCCTATTTTTATTTTTATTTAAGAGTGAGTAGATGATTCTTTTGTCCTCTTCTGACATTAATTCATTAATAAGGTGGGCGTGCTGCCGTGTACCTTTAATCCCAATGCTCGGGAAGCAGAGGCAGGTGGATCTTTGTGAGATTGAGGGCAGCTTGATCTATACAGTGAGTTCCAGACCAGCTGTGGCTTCAAGCCCTGTCTCAAAACAGACAAACAAAACAAAAAACCAAAAGGAGCAACCCCAAAAGAGCCATTAATTTTTTTCTGTTGTGTTGTTTATATCTTATTAAACTGTGATGAATTAAAAAAATTCCAACTCCTATCAAAACACTCAGTTTTTAAACTGAATTTGTTGACCTGTAAATATACTTTTATATACCACACTTATAATTGTTGCCTCATCACTTTTGTTTGACCTGCTCTCTCCGTTTCCCACTCCAAAAGCAGTTTTGAGGTAAACCATTCTTGTATATCTGAGTGTGGTATTTCATTGAATTAATATAGCATATTAAATTGACCACACTAATTGGTTGCTAATGTGGTCAATTTAACATTTGGGCTGCTTCCAATTAGGTGAGATAATCAGTTCATTGATTGTATTAGTTACTTGTCTCATTACTGTGACGGAATATCTGACAGAATCCACTTAAGGAATGCCTTATTTTGGCTCATGGTTTCAGGGTTTTTGGTTCATCATGGCTGGAAAGGCATGGTGGTGGAATGATGAGGCAGCTGCCTGCATCACAGCAGCAGACAGGAAGCAGGCATCATCTTCAGAACCCTCCCCTAGCAGCTCATGTCTGCTTTCTAGGCCTTGTGTCCCAAAGGTTCCACTACTTTCCCAAATATAGCCATCATTTGGGGACCAAGTACTGAAACATATGACCCTGTGGGGACATTTCAGACTGGATACTGCTTTTGAATAAAGGCAGGAGAGACAATGTCCTGGGGCTGTGCCAGGCACCCAGAATTAGGAGATTTATATAGCAGCACTTAGTGTTGGTTGCTGGGAGATGATGTGTGTGATCCTCAAGCATCTGTAATCCAATACAGTCACATGACCTTAAATCTAAATTCCATTCCTTGACAGACAAGGTGGCACAGGCCTTTAATCCCAGCGCTCCGGAGGCAGGAGGAGGTGGATCTCTGAGATTGAGGCCATCCTGGTCTACATAGTGAGTTTCAAGTCAGCTGGGACTACAGGGAGACCCTGTCTCAAAAAGATAAAAAAAAAAAAAAAATTTCCGTTTCTTGAACTTCTCTCTCCTTTGTATCCTAACACGTATCTCCATAGCATCAGAGCTGGGTCAGTGGTGCTCATAAGCAGTCATTGGTGCCTAATTGGGCATGTCCTCACCCAGCTCCATCTTACCTGACCTTACTGGTGTAAGTAATTGTAATTGTATCTGATGTAATTGTATTTGATGTTGACTCTGCAGTCTTCAGAGACACTGACTCTGAACACCAGGGATGGGAGACTATAGCCCCTTTATTTTTCTGGCTTGTGTTAAGTGTCAGCTTAGCTTTGAGCCCTGGCTCCATTAACTTGCAATTGTGTGTTTCTGGATGAGTTGCTCAGCTTTTGCCAGTATGTGTTTCCTCATCTGTGTAAAAGGCGATGGTCTTATGTACCGAGTGGGCAGAGAAGGAATGGTACGGGTGCTTGAGACACTGGGCAAGCACAGACTATTGTGCACATATTTCATAGTGAGTGCATTTTAGCATATGACAATCCTAGGGAAATTTTTGTTCCACAGTGAGGTAGGGAAATCACAGTTTTATAATTTCCAGCCTCCCCATTTAAGCATAAGTACCTGAGAATTTGAGGTGCCTGGAAGTTGGCAGTCTCTGGGTTTGGAAAGTGGAAGAAGGCACATGGAACAGCCAGCCACGTGAGCTCACTTGTGCCAGCCATCAGAAGGTCCTTCTTGCTTCTGGCCATAGAAGGGGCAGCTGTCCACGTTGGTGGACAGTGGACTTGCTTAGGCACTTGTTGCTTGGGGCCAAGGCTGATGTGTCACAGTCACACTGGGGCAGTGACATGTCATAGGCTGAGGCCTGTGTGTGTGCTGCACCTGCCCTCTTCTCAGATCTACCCAGGCTTCGGTGGCAGATTTGATAATGCAGGTGGCTTGGTGGTTTAGTGTACAGGCTTTGGCACTGGACTTGGGAATCAGAGTGTGTCTCTGTTCTTGCTAGCTGTGTGACCTTGGGTGAATTTTTAATCTCTCTTTCAGTTTTCTTAGTTATAAAATGGGGAAAAGAAAACAACTTCAATGAATTATTACATGAATAAAATGAGAGACTATTTATTGGTTCAAAAAATACGCTTCAAAGTGCATCATTTTTCATTACTTAAGATTACTATAAGCCTTGCTAATCAGAAGGTATATTCTAATAGCAGCAATGCAGGAAGAATGAAAAGCTAGGCTTTATCAGGCTCAGAAAAGTGAAGTTTATGTTCTTAGTATCCTACTGAGTGTGTTTGTATACACATGTTTTATTGGCCTTGGGTACATGGTTGTAAAACTGAAACATCACTGAGCAGATTTAGCATTTGATTATCCATCCTTTTTGCTCAAAATTAATGGCTTTCCCTTCATCTGTTGTGGTTCAACAAAGGCCAAGGTTGTGTAACTGGCACAGTGTTTTTGTGGCCCCCAGCCACTGCTCACTCCTGGCGGGTGGCATTATAATCAGGTGCAGTTAAAGCTGTGTAAGTCACAGCCCTCTAAATAATTGATTGACTTGCTTCCTGCTGAATTAAGAAAGCTCCAGCTAGGAGACAGATGTTAAAAAAAGGAGACATAAATTTACATGAGGAGAAGTCCCTTTGAGGGAAGTGTCTTCCTTCCTCTTTGGTCCTGCTCTAACAGGACACCACAGACTAGCTAATGTGTAATGGACAGAAATTAATTTGGCTCATAGTTCTGGAAGCTGGGAAGGCTAGGGTTGAGGTGCTGTACCTGGTGGGGTACAGAGCATGGTAGAAGGTATCGTGTTGGGGAGAACTTGAGAGGGAAGAGGCAGCTGATCTGCTTTGAAGTTAATGGTGTTCATCCATTGATAGGGGTAGAGTCCTCATAACATGATCAGTCCTTGGTATCTACCTCTCCACATTGCTGCATGGGGAGTTACATTTCCAACCCTTGAACTTGGGGTGACAGGTCCAACCAAAGAAGCTGCATATAAAGACAGTTATTAGGCTGCAGAGGAGACATTTTCTGTTTCTGCTTTTTGTATTAGTTATCTCTTGCTGTGTGACACTTATCTCCAAACTTGGTTGCCTGAAGCAAGTGTTTATAATTCTCCATGACTTCTGTGGATCTAGGGCTTTGAGAATGGGTGAGGGTCTTTCAGGAGGTGGAGGTTGAGCTGCTGACTAGAGTCAGTGTCACCTGAAGGCTTGACTGGGACTGGAGGGTCACTTTCATGCATGTGGCTGTTGACAAGAGGCCTTGGGTTTCTGCTGCTAGGGCCTCCATAGGGCTGTGTGGCAGGTGGCTTCTGTAGAGAGAACACCCCCCCCCCCCCCCCCCGGGGGGGGCGGCGGCTGGGTTCTTTTAAATAACTGGTCACAACCCTACTTTCTCCTGTTACCTACTACCAGCTCTCAAAGTTCAGTGCCTCAGTTCCAGAACAGCAGAAGGGATTGCAAGCTCAGGGCGAGCCACCCAGGAGGCTGAGACGGCAGCTCCGCCCCCGGGCCCTGAGCTCCGCCCATCTCCCCCCCCCCCCCCCCCCCCCCCCGCCCAAGGGGGAGGCCGCTAGGTTTCTGTAACATCATGCTTACACACAGTCCTTGCTGCTGTATTCTGTGGTTACACAGATCGGCCATGGGTGTGACTAGCAGGAGCAGGCGTTGGTGGGTCCATCTTAA